GTCGTGTACATATGTATGCCAGTAGAGAGAACTGGAAGGGGACCAAACATCATCCATGGCTTTCACGTCACTACCGAGGCAAGTTCTTTGTCACACAGGATGGCTTTCAGCCCCTTGGCTCAAGACATCTTTCAGCAGCCTGCGAAGTAGCTGAGACTCCAGACACAAATCCCTATGCCTAGCCTGGCGCCCCATTTGTTCTCCAAGCAACGTGGGCCATCTCCAGATGTTACCATTTCTTTGTCTCCCCACCCTTGTCCTCCTCCCATCTCCCCCTACCTCCTGTCTGTTTTTTGTTTGTTTGTTTGTTTGTTTTGATTTTGATTTTATTTTCTAAATGTAAAGGACCATCTCTGAGGAATGAGATTATGGCTTATTTATCTGCTTGTTTTGTAGTAGTGTGGACTGGACCCATCTATGCTAAGTAAATCCTCTGTCACTGAGACCCAGCCCCAGCCCCAGCCCCAGCCCCAGCCCCCACGCATTTCAAAGCACTCACATGTTTAGCTTTTATGTTGACCCAGAGGTATTTTTCTCTGCTCTGCTTTATTTTTAGTTCAGTGTGAGTATAAAAGTCACCAAAAGGTTAAAAAAAAAAACTGAGGAGAAAAAGAACAAATTTTTAACTGCCTTTAGCTTTCAAGTTGTTGTTTATTATTTAAATTTGTTTTCAAAGCCTGGGATGCCCAACACTTGAGAGGCAGAAGCAGTCTAAGCTATATATCAAGACCCAGGTCAACCAGGCTACATATTAAGACTCTGTCTTTAAAAAAAAAAAAAAAGTTTTATAAATTAAATCTGTTTTCATTGTTATATGAAAACTACTGGCTATCTTTAAAATATATCACTGTTTTAATTTCCTTTAGACTCAGCAGATGAGTTTTAAGATACAAATTAGAGTCACTCAGCAAAGATGAGTCTATTGTGTTCAGGGAATCTTATGAGGCACTGGGAACCTAAGATGAATGCCTCGCAGATTCTGCCTTGAGCTCATAACCTATCTACTCTAATTTCTAAACTGGGGAAGCAGAAAACTAGGAAAGCCATGAAACCCAGGCTAGAGTCCCAGGGGACCTTCCCTGCAGCTGGGAGGAGTCGTGGATTTTAAAAGGGTGTAGGAATTTGATGGTTTAGACTTTTCCTGGTCTCTCCTGTAGCAAAACAAAAGAATTTGTGCCTGACTCCTTTAAGATTTGCAAAGAAACTCGCTTGCTAAGCTCCCCTGAAGTAATTTAAGGTTCTCAGTTAGTGGCTAATAATTAACATCCATCCACGAGACAACTCCATTTGATCAGCCCACAGAGACCACAAACTGAACTTATTCAAAAGGCGATTCTTTATGCTTGCCTAAAACCCCTTCTCACTACATTTTTTGAGACCTGCTCCAGTCTGGCTTGCAATTCCCAGTCTTCGTGTCTCAGCTTCCTGAGTACCAGGATCGCAGCTCTAATGATGACTGGTACCTCATGTCTCTTTCCTGAGACTGAAGACCTGAATCATTAGACATTGCCCTTAGGTAAAGGTCATGGGTATTCAAAGAGCTATCTTGAAGGAGTTCGGCTTTTTCTTTGTCCTTTATTCCTTGCTCTAAATCAATCTAGGCTTTGCATGTGGTAAGAAATCAACAGATACCCCTGCCATCTCAGCCTCCCAAGCTCCATTGCTGCCTCTCCACATTCTGTTTCCTTCAGTTCTTACACCCAAAGTAAGTTGTCACCTCAGAACAGTGTACCAGCCGCTCCCTTTTCCTTCAATGGCCGCCTTCTTGCTTGGTTTAGTGCTGCCCAGCCGCACTCCCAGGAGCTCCCTGATATTTTAATGAGGTGCTATGCACCCTTCAACACTTCTGCCCAGTGCCAATCATGCCATGGTGCCACTGGTTGCTTTCTCCTCTTTCCAGGCTGTAGGTCTCAGAAGGTCAGGGTTGTTTCTGTTCCTTCCACTGTTCTATCCTTGGGAGCCAAAACTAGCACATCTGACTATAGCCAGATACACACTGGCAGATAGTAAGGATTTAGGAAAAAAAAATCAATCTCATCTTTTACAGGGAGTTACAGAAAATTACCTATAGGCTCTGTGATTTAATTCAAAGAAACAGATGTCCAGAAGCACATTTCAGTTGACCGGCAGGTGTAACTAAAAGTTCCATATCTCAAAGTGAGCTTTTCTTGGTTCTTCAAGGGCTAAAGCAGCAGTTTTGGGTTCCCTTAGGAATTCATCTACCTCCTCTCCTGGTTACCTCCCCACTCCATCTATGAGATGACTGTGCTTTGGTTCCTATAATAGCTTACCCACTCGACCAAGGCTTTGAAATCCCTTTGCCTCTTCCCTTCCCTTGCTGTTGCTGGGGAATTTGGGGCCAATCAAGAACCATCTTCTTCCAGAAGATGCGCTGAAACTAGCATCTGCTGAGCCTCACAGACTCCAAGTGCTCGTGAGTGACTGGCCACTGCCATCTCTACACCGACATGCCAGCAGAGAGACATGGACAGATAAATAGGATGGACTTCAATACTACCATAAAGGAAGGCAATGGTGCATAGATTTCTTGAGAACCAGTGGGCTCCCAGTCAGGTCTCTTCCCACAGGAGACTGGAGAATGGCACATGAAAGCCTTATCACCTGACCCTCTAGGCTGAAGACCTAAGAGCCAGTTGGTTGACTTCTCCATCGCTGCTTTTGGAACCAGTACACAGTGCGTGGGGAAAAAAAAATTCTTAGAAACTTGTCTGTCAGCACCAAAATCCATTTATGGTTTCCCAGGCAACTCTCGACATTGCTGAGACATTCAAGTTGTTGCAAACTTTGAGGCTAGCAATTTGGCACATGGCAGCTCTGGCATTTTTCTCTTGGCTGTCTGCTTCATTCATGCCCCGCCATGCTCCGGTCTGTGAGACCAGCCACATAATTTGCAGGGTGAGTGCAAAATAAAAGTGTGAGACTCTGTTTTTAAATTAAAATCTCAAGGCAGTGACAAGGGAGCATTAAAGCAAGCACAGGGCTCTTTGAAGGGTGGGGCCCTGGGTCACTGGCCCTGGGTGACTGCACAAGTCAAATGCCCACAGAGGGAGCTGGCAGTTCTCTCTGCATCTGGGAAGCTGGACCCAGCAAACTCCTCTGCTGTTTGCTTCTGGCTCTGCTCACCGGGTAGGAGACCCTGACAGAGCTGACCAGAGGGCAGAAAGGAAGAAAACATTTTATTCCTCGGCTGCTGCAGCTGTCTCTGACACTTCCCACAATGGGGAAGATCATCTTTTCGCAGACTCAACAGCTGCAGCAGCCGAGGACCCTGGTTCCAGCATCCTGCGGGGATTCTAAGCAGACTGCTGTCATTTTACAAGGGAGACATGTTCTCAGGTCTCTCTAGCTGATGTTACCTTTGCGTAAACATCATACAACGTTCTTACACAGATCTAGACAGTATAGCATATTCCATACCTAGTCCATATGGGACATATATATGGTACAGCCTAATGTTCCTAAGGCTGCCATGTACAAAGCCCTAGATTAAATCCAGCAGAAGAGAAGGTGACATAACTAGAAGACAGTTAGACTCTGTAACATGAGGAGGCCTGCTTGTTGGGGTATCTGTCCCGCCCAGTACCCCACAGTCGGCAAGCCCCAAAGAAAGAAAATTACACACAGGACTCGATAAGATTATAAACTGATTGCCCCATTAGCTCAGGCTTCTTGTTAGCTATTATGACTTATATTAACCCATTATTCTCATCTATGTTAGCCATATGGCTTGGTACCTTTTTCAGCTGTCAGCTCACATGTTGCTTCTTCGGTGGTCTGGGCAGGAATGGTGGAGGGAGCTTCCTGCTTCCCAGAATGCTCCTGTTCTCATCGCCCACCTGTGCTTCCCGCCTGGTCAATCAGCGTTTACTTAAAATATGATTGACAGAATACAGAGAATTCTCCCACACCAAGACTCAAGGTGTATGAAGCTGTTGCTGCATCCAACTGGTTTACAGTAAATAACTTTCCATTTGGTTAAGATGGTTCCCTCATGGATCCCTGCGTTGCTGGACATACTGTGAGCACAATGGTGTGGTTACAGAAGCCATGACTTCCCCCGCCCCAAGAGCTACTTCACAAGGGCAGGCTGCTCATGTTCCCTAAAAGAAGGAGAGACTGAAAAGGGTCATCCACCCTCACTTGGGATTTGTCCCGTGGCCTTCTGAGCCTCCCTCCCAACTTAAGTAATTCCCCATCTGTGCTTGAGTAAGTGGACCATGGAAGGTTAACTGTAGGGGGACCCTCATGGTGCGGCTACAGGGAGCCATCATTCATGGTAGGCTGGGACTTTCACTGCTGCTGGGGTCACCCACGCTGTTGCAAGCAAGAGGTTTACCAAGAAGGACTGGAGTGGAATCATTTCGTTGGTGTGACATTGGTGCCTGATCTAGGGTGAGAAGACCTTTGACCCAAGTAGACAGTGTATCCAACGACATTAAACTCTTGGTGCTTCTGCCACCTTTAGAGTGCTGGGATTAATACAAGCACACACTACCATAGCCAGCTATAGTAAACATTTTTTTTAAAAAATATTATTTATTTATTTATTTATTTATTTATTATGTATACAATATTCTGTCTGTGTGTATGTCTGAAGGCCAGAAGAGGGTGCCAGACCTCATTACAGATGGTTGTGAGCCATCATGTGGTTGCCGGGAATTGAACTCAGGACCTTTAGAAGAGCAGGCAGTGCTCTTAACCACTGAGCCATCTCTCCAGCCCAGTAAACATTTTTCAAAATTATTTTGTGTATATGAATGTTTGGCTTGCATGTATATCTGTGCACTGAAGAGGGCATCAGATTTGCTAGAACTGGAGTTACAGATGGTTGTAGCTGCTGTGTGGTGCTGGGAAGGAAACCCAGGTCCCCTGTAAGAAAGGCAAATGCTCTTAACTGCTGAGCCCTCTCTCCAGCCCAACATCAAACATTTTTTTATAATAAAAGCCCACTCTAAAATAAAGACTAGACTACTTTGTAGTGAATACATAAAACCACCAGGATCTTTATTTGCTATCACGATCAAGCAGTACATGGCATGAATAATGGTGCATGCTCTTCTTTTATAGCACTGGACACCCAATATGTGTGCTTACATCAGAATCACCACAAAGAGAAATGCCTTGTCTTGTGATGATGTTATTATGCTTGGAGAGGCACCAAGCATAAAGGGCTTTTCATCTTCACTATAATTTCTGGGACCCTGGCATATGTGCAGTCCATTGTTGATAGTAAGGTCCTTATGCAGTGTGCCACCATGGAGTGTACATTGCCACTGGTTCCAGCAGCAGGCACTGTCTTCATCAGGGGCAGCAATGAGTGCTTTCAGGGCCCTAGTAAAACCAGCTCCTCCCTATTCCTATAGTCGTAGGGTTAATAGTAATTTCCTGAAGTCACTGCCCTCAGGCTTATTTTACCTTCTAATTTTGCTCCTTCAGCTCTTCTAACAATAGCAATTATTCCTTAAATTAAGTCCCCTGGTTAAAACAATTAGTACCATTTCTAATTTCCTGATGAGACATTGGCTGATAAAATGGCTAGGTCCTTAAAATTATGTTTCCCCACTGACCTAGCTATTCAACTTGGAAGGATGCTTCCTATGGGTATGACTGTGGAGTAGGAAAAGACATTACAAAATTGATACCACAGTTTGCAGTTTGTCTCCTGCGCCTTGTTGGAATAGCAGAGGCAGGAAACAGTCCTAATGTCTAACTCCTAATGTCTAACAGTGAAGCTGCTGAGAGATCCCAGGGAAGACAGATGCCAATGAGACAAACTGCAACATGAAATCCAGAAATGGGAGTTTAGTATACGAATTAGGTGGTCTTTCAAGGCAATATGTGGTAAGGATAGAAGAAAATTACAGACCAATATCTCTTATGAACAAAATATAAAATTAATTAATAAAGAGTTGATAGACTCAATAAATACATTAAAAGGATAATAAATCATGACCTGTGGAGAACAGATGAAGTCCTAAGTGATGTGTATAGCTGACATGAACACAATCATGTCAAGAAACCCAATGCCTCAATATCTCCAAGAACAGCAAAGCCCTCCCCGGGTCAGGCTCAGAGTAATGGCAAAGCTTTCCTCTGGTCCCAATACAGATATTTATGAACCTTTAGCTAAAACAAACAAGTGTATGCAGAAACTGCTAGCCACAGCTTTCTCCTCCTGGATGATAGCAACCTGGGAATGCTGCCCTACAGAAACCTCATACAGAGATTAGAACCTGCGTCCTCCTTGCTCATGCTGTACACAGTGAACCGGCTGTCTCCAGGCTGCTGCTGGTGTATCTCCACCAGAGCCCACAGTCCACTTGATCCCACCTTTTCTGTTTGCCCATTGTTTCTTCATTCTCTGTTTGGTGTGGGAGGTCCTTCTGTCTATGTGTTGCTTTTATTGGTTGATGAATAAAGAACTGGCTTGGCCTATAGCATGGGAGGAGGAAGGCGGGGTCAGAGAGATACGCGAAGGAGCCGCCATCCGAGACAGAAGTGCTAAAACTTTGCTGGTAAACCACTGCCACATGGTGATACACAGATTAATATAAATGGGTTAAATTAATATGTAAGAGTTAGCAAATAAGAAGCTCGAACTAATGGGCCAAGCAGTGATTTAATTAATACAGTTTCTGTGTGATTATTTCGGGTCTAAGCTAGCCAGGTGGCCAGGATGAACAAGCGGGCCCTCTGCCTACATCTGTTGTCTCTGTTAGATAAATCCTTAAACTTTGGAGGTCTTGGCAGCAATAGCTGGGCTTTCTTCTCCAAACAAATTAATAGTTAAAAAGAAATAAACACTGCTGGGTATAGTGGAACATGCCTTTAGTTCTAACATTTGGAAGACAGAGGCAAGTAGATTTCTGAGTTCAAGGCCAGTCTGGTCTACAGAGCAAGTCCTGGATAGACAGGGCTACATAGAAAAATCCTATCTCAAAAAACCCCCCAAAAGAAAAAACACAAAAGCTCTGAGTGCAGTGATACATACCTATGATTCCAGCATGCAGGAGGCCAAAGTAAGAAACTCTTGACCTGAAGGACAACTCGACCAAGTAGTGAGCTCCAGGCCAACCTAAGCCACACAGCAAGACCTTACTTCAAAAAGAAAACAGACAAACAAACAAATACCACATTAAAAGGATAAAGGTCAAGCAAGATGATTTCCACTGGTAAGGGGAAAGCATTTGTCAAAATCCATGACAAATACACTCTACAAGCTAATAATAGGAGAGAACTTTTTCGATATGATTGATAAAGGGCATCCACAAAAAATGACAGCTAAGTTCATACTTACTATTTATGGTTTCCTAGGCAACACATATTCTGAAGAATGGTTCAGGTTGGCAGAAAGAAAAAAAAGCAAACATTGTGGATAATGTTCTGAAAACATATAGCCAGGATCAGGGAGATGGCTCAGCCAGTAAAGGTGCTTGCTACCAAGTCAGATGATCTGAGGTAGATCCCTGGTACTCACTGGCTAGGGTAAGGAAATAACAGACTCCTGTAAGCTGTCCTTTGGCCCTCACATGTACATATGAGCAAACATGTATACAAAATAAATAAATAAATAAATATAAGAAAAAAACCACATAGGCAGTCAGTCATTTGCCTGACTGCTCAAAGACAGGTAGAAAACAAGCTGCAAGGCCCTCTGTCTCTACACTAGAGACAGCATTTTACTAGAGTTATAGCAAAGTCAACTAGGAAAGAAAAAATAAATAAAAGGCTGAGGTCAGGAAAGAAGAGATGTCCTTACCCAGGCGTGATGTGAATGTGAACATATAAAGGAAGTAAAATCAAACACGAGAACAATCAGAGACTAACTGGAGAAAAGTAAGTAAGGTACATGCCTCATGCATTATACCAGAAAGATGTTTCTAATAAATCCATGAAGCCAGAGGGACCGAGGAACGTCGTGCAACAGGTTTCATTTGAACGTGGAAGGTATTCTAAGTATGAAATAACATCTAGAAGTATAATAAGACCAGTGAATACAAATATTATAACAAAAAATGTATAAAACCTCTTTGAATTTTTGTTTATGTGTGTGGGTATTGCCTGCATGTATGTCTGTGCACCACATGTGCACATGTTGCCTAAAGAGGTCAGAACGCGGTGTCAGATCCCATAGAACTGAGTTACAGATGGTTGTAAACTGCATGTGGGTGGTAGGAACCAAACCTGGATCCTCTACAAGAGCAACAGGTGCTCTCAAGCACTGAGCCATCTCACCAGCCCGTGTAACAAAGGTCTGAAAACTTCTGGGTAACTAGAATTCAAAAACCAACGTTAAAAGGCAAATAAGTTGAAAAAAAATTGTGATTCCTGTCACAGACAAAGAGCTGTTATGCTGATAGAGAAAGACTCTGGAGAGGAAACGTCTATATAATCTGAGGGAAATGGGGAAAAAAAGAGATTAGAAAAATAAGAAGAGCTCTCAAACATATTCCTCAACCTCCCCATAGTGAAAAGATGTGGATTAAAAGCCCCTCAATAGCATCATTTTTACCAACAAGACTAGCAAAAGAATCAAACACAGGTTGTTTGTTTGCTTTCAAGACAGGATTTCTCTGTGTAGCCCTGGCTGTCCCAGAACTCACTCTGTAGATGAGGTTGGCCTCCAACTCACAGAGATCTGCCGCCTGTCACCATCCATCTCAAAGTTTTTGCATGTTTCACCAAAGAGGAAACATACTTAGAAGGAGAGGGAATAACAGGGTAATGGTGGACACTGTGATCATGTATATACATGTATGAAAACACCATAGCGAAACACATCAGTCTGAACAAGTCACACACACATAAAAGGAAAAGAGTATCTTAAAAGATAAAAACAACATGAACAGATACAAATCCTAAGGACAGCAATTTAACATTTACTAAAATTACAAATGTGATATGTGCACGGTATACCAGCAATTCCAGCAGTCTGGAGGTTGAGGCAGGAGGATTGCTAGTTTGAAAACCAACTTGGCTTACATAGAGCTTGTCTCAAAACAATATCAACGTGGGTCCCCTTTAACTTGGCATTGGGTTTCTAGAACTCTTGTGTTGCAGGCATATTGCCCCAGTGTGAAGGGTTGTTTGTTATAATATAATAGTCTTTGAAATTCCAAGGGATTCGCTGTAGCTTAAATGCTGAGCAAGAGAGAATTTGTTAAATAAAATAATGTGCATTTCTACTGGGATTTCACGGTAGCCCTTAAACCTGGACAAACTATATACTGAAGATCAATATGTAATATGTACTTGACCTTCAAGTAGTAACCTTCAAGATTTATTATTGTTAGAAAGGTAAGATGCAGTGCCTTTATAAGAGTAATAGTTTGTGTACAATTGGGGAGGATATATCCATTGGCTTAGATATACAACCAATATCTTGAGCAGGGTTAAAGGTGAGCACAAGAAGGGAAGAGAGTTTTAAGGAAGGGATGAGGAAAGCAGTGGAATACACGGAACATGCAGGGCAGAAAAGAACCACCAGAAGGGGCACAAGCGGGGGCACAAGCGGGGGCACGAGCGTGAGGGCACGAGCGTGTGGGAGAGGCACGGGGGGAGGGTGCAGCAAAAACAAAGCTGGCATGATACCATCATTATGAGCTCAGGATTTGGGGTGTTGATTAAAGAATAGGAAAGCTTTCTTTTGCAAACCACGTTCTAGTTTTTTGCTTTTTTTTTTTTCTATTGCTGTGGCAAATACCACGACCAACTCAGAGAGGAAAGAGTTTATTTGTCTTGCATTTATTGCTGGAAGTCAGGCTAGAACCCAAGCAGGAACCATGGAGGAACGGCACTTGCTGGCTTGCTTTTCCCGACTTGCTCATGCTACTTTTTTATACAACCCAGGACTGCCTGTCCAGGGGTGGCATCACCTACAGTGGCATGGACCCTCCCACACCACAACTGTGCCATATACACACACACACTCACACCTCCAAGTGTGCATGCATAGAACACACAAAATAATATTCTTTCTCAGTGAGACAGCTACAACAGCTAAACAATCCTCATACTTGATGACACAGTCTTCTTTATTTACGGGTTCTGACTGTGGATCAAGAAGAAATATGGCTAGGTGGTAATGGTGCATGCCTTTAATTCCAGTATTTGGGAGGCAGAGGCAGGCAGATCTCCATGGGTTCAAGGCCATCCTGGTCTACAGAGTGACTTCCAGGAGAGCCAGAGCTACATAGAGAGACTCTATATGGAAAACCCAAAAACTAAATAATAAAAAAACAAAAAAAACAAAAAAACAAAAAAACACAAAGCAAACATACAAAAAAGAAGGTATATGTTGGGGGCTGTGTGTGTACTAAACACACATTTCTGTTATTAATTCTTTAAACAACACAGTTCAATGACTATTTGCACAGATTTACAAGGTATATGTAAGACACTTGCATATCTACATTTTGGTTCCAGCAGAGGGTTCTGGAACCAGTCCCCCATGGATCTCACAGAGCCAACTCACTGTTTCAAAGGACAGAATATGTCAGATCAGGTAGTACTGTAAACTCTTGCTCCTGTCATGGTGCCACACACACACACACACACACACCAACTACCTCCCGCTGTTTAATAGAGAAAACAAACACCACCAGTAGTGAAGTCCAAACTTTTTTTTTTTTTTTTTTAATAATCTTCTACATCTCCTGATTTCTCCTGTTTCTATACAGGCTCAGTTTCCTCTTTCTTTCTTTTTTTTTTTTTAGTAATTTTATTACATTATAAAAGTTTCCATTTACGCCCCTCTTCCCAACACCCTCCCACTCCCCCCCCTCCCTCTCCTTCTCCCTCTTTGTCCCTAAGGGCAGTCAGGGTTTCAAGCCCTGTGGGAAGTTCAAGTTTGTCCCCCCTCCCTCCAGGTCCAGGAAGGTGAGTATCCAAACAGACTGGATCCCAAAAACCCAGTATATGCAGAGGAAACTAGTCCCAGTGTCATTGTCAATGTCTTCTCAGAAAGACCCCGGGCCAGCCACATTCAGAGAATCCGGCCACATTCAGAGAATCTGGTTGGATCACGTGCTCGTTCAGACGCAGTCCACCTGCCCTTGGTAAACTCTCATTAGATCCGACCCCTTGTATCAGTGGGTGATAGCATCCCTCGCAGTCCTTCGTCATTTTCTTCGTCCTTCTGCTCCTCATTTGGACCTTGGGGGGCTCAGTCCGGTGCTCCAATGTGGGTCTCCGTCTGTATCGCCATCCATCGCCAGATGAAGGATCTATGGTGATAAGCAAAATATTCATCAGTATGGTTATGGGCCAAGGCCGGTTCAGGCACCCTCTCCTCTGTCCAGAGAACAATCTGGGGATCTCTCCTTGGACCTGGGATCCCATATATAATCAAGTTTCCTATAAACCCTAAAATGACTCCCTTAGTTGAAATATATTCTTCCCTGATCCCATATTCATCCTTCCTCCCCTCCCCCCATCCCGGTCAACCGAGCTTTCTCCATTCCTCCCCTACTCTCTTCTCTCTAACCCTCTCCCCTTCCAACAACCCTCCCACCCCCCCACCCACCCCCCATGCACCCAAGGTTACCTGGGACTCTTGACTATTTCCTACCTCCTGGCGGATAGCTAAATAATCTTCATCAGGTTCGTCTTCTTATTTAGCTTCTCTAGGATCACGAATAATAGGCTCAAAGACCTTTAATTATGGTTAGAATCCACTTATGAGTGAATACATACCGTGTTCCTCTTTTTGGGTCTGGCTTACCTCACTCAGTAAAGCGTTTTCTATGTCCATCCATTTGCATGCAAAATTCAAGATGTCATTATTTTTTACCGCTGAGTAAAACTCTAATGTGTATATGTTCCACACCTTTTTTAACCATTCTTCTATTGAGGGGCACCTCGGCTGTTTCCAGGTTCTGGCTATAACAAATAGTGCTGCTATGAACATAGTTGAACAAATGCTTTTGTAGTATGCTAGGGAATCTCTAGGGTATATTCCCAAGAGTGGAATTGCTGGGTCCTGAGGGAGATTGACTCCCAGTTTCCTGAGAAACCGCCACACTGATTTCCACAGTGGCTGCACAAGTTTGCATTCCCACCAACAATGGATGAGTGTTCCCCTCACCCCACATCCTCTCCAGCATAGGCTATCATTGGTGTTTTTGACTTTAGCTATTCTGACAGGTGTAAGATGGTATCTCAAAGTGGTTTTGATTTGCATTTCCCTGATTGCTAAGGATGTTGAGCATGACCTTAAGTGTCTTCTGGCCATTCGAAGTTCATCTGTTGTGAATTCTCTGTTCAGTTCAGTACCCCATTTTTTAATTGGGTTAATTAGAGTTTTAGTGCCTAGTTTCTTGAGTTCTTTGTATACTTTGGAGATCAGACCTTTGTCTGATGAGGGGTTGGTGAAGATCTTCTCCCAGTCAGAAGGCAGCCTTTTTGTCTTACTGACAGTGTCCTTTGCTTTACAGAAGCTTCTCAGTTTCAGTAGATCCCATTTATTCATTGTTTCTCTTATTGTCTGTGCAGCTGGGGTCCTGCTTAGGAAGAGGCCTCCTGTGCCTATATCTTGTAGACTACTTCCCACTTTCTTTTCTATCAGGTTCAAAGTGGACGGATTAATGTTGATGTCTTTAATCCATTTGGACCTGAGTTTTGTGCATGGTGATAGGTATGGATCTACTTTCATCCTTCTACAGGTTGACATCCAGTTATGCCAGCACCATTTGTTAAAGATGCTTTCCTTCTTCCATTGTATACCTTTAGCTCCCTTGTCAAAAATTAGGTGCTCATAGGTTTGTGGGTTAATATCCAGGTCTTCTATTCGATTCCAAAGGTCGATTTCTCTGTTCTTATGCCAATACCAAGCTGTTTTCAAGACTGTAGCTCTGTAATAGAGTTTGAAGTCAGGGATGGTAATGCCTCCTGAAGTTCCTTTATTGTATAAGATTGTTTTGGCTATCCTGGGTTTTTTGTTTTGCCATATAAACTTGATTATTGTTTTCTCAAGGTCTGTGAAGAAGTTTGATGGGATTTTGATGGGGATTGCATTGAATCTATAGATTGCTTTTGGTAGAATTGCCATTTTTACTATGTTGATCCTCCCAATCCAAGAACAAGGGAGATCTTTCCATTTTCTGGTATCCTCCTCAATTTCTTTCTTCAAAGACTTAAAGTTCTTGTCAAATAGGTCTTTCACTTCCTTGGTTAGAGTAACCCCAAGATATTTTATGCTATTTGTGGCTATCGTGAAAGGTGATGTTTCTCTGATTTCCCTCTCAGTTTCTTTATCCTTTGTCCTCTTTCAACTTAAGAAAACAAGGTGACCTTCCTTTTCCTTCTCAAGCCCTTGAATTTTTATTTTTCCTTCTCAAGCCTTCTGTACTTTTAACCAGTTCTCTCTTTTATGCCACTATCTTCCATTTCTTTGCCTCTCCTTTGTCTTAGTTGATACCAGCACCGAGTCAGGAGCCTCAGCTTTGTCTCTCAGCAGTCTAACCTTTCCTGAACCTGCTTAGAGCTGCCTCCTGACCAGCTTCCTACCATGTCCCCATCCCTGTCCCACTGCCCAGGTCCTAGTCAAGCTTTTGTATCTTTTGCTTTTGTTTGTTCAGTTTGATTTTGGTTTTACGAGACAAGGTTTCTCTGTGTAGTCCTGACTGTCCTGGAACTCACAAAGGTCTACCTGCCTCTGCCTCCTGAGTGCTGTGATTAAAGGCATGTGCCACCACCTACCAGCATGGCTTTTGTATCTTTAATCAGGATTTTTATAATTACCTTACAATTTACTTCTGGCTTCCTGGCTCTGTCTGCCTTAGTCTATCCTTCATCTTATTCCACAGCAATTTTTTCCTGTGAGTCTGTGAACTACGAGTCCCCAAAAATCACACATAGTATAAATGTGATGATATTAAGAGATGAGACTTTTGGAAAGTCCCCATCAGAAGGCTGCACCCTCGTGGATTAGGGCACTTACAGAGGGCTCGAGGGAAGGAGGAAGTAGACTCAGCATTGTTTTGCTCTTCCATTCCTTCAGCTGTGTGAGAACACGTCTGAGGTCCAACCTGGAAGCAAAGATGTGGACCCTTACTCGATACTGGACCTACCTACACTTTGGTCATTTACTTCCCATTCTCAAGAACTAATGTAGCCAGGCAGTGGTGGTGCACACTTTTAGTTCCAGCACTTGAGAGGCAGAGACAGGCAGATCTCTGTGAGTTCGAGGCCAGCTGGTCTACAAGAGCTAATCCCAGGACCTAAAGCTACAGAGGAAAAAAAAAAAAACAAAAAGGAAAGAAAGTGTCGAAAAACAAAAAAGAAGGAAGGAAGGAAGGAAGGAAGGAAGGAAGGAAGGAAAAAAGGACTAATGTAATTTATGTAAATTCCTTTTAAAAGACCCAAACTATGGTATTATTCATAGTTTCTACTGTTATGCCCAAAATCTGGATCTCCAAAACATCACCAGGAGGCCTTACCAGATGTAAAAGCAGAGTCTTTATTTCAAGTTAATTCGGGTCCCTCTGTCAGTCTGAAGCTGCTCCATCTGTCTGTCTGTCTGAATCAGCAGTGGCAACAGCAGCAGCAGGAAAAACACAGAAGAGACCCTGAGCAGAGAAAAGAGGGACTTTATACAGAGTAAGAGGCTTATGGAATTCCAAGCCTCTGGGCTTGTGCTTGGCTGCTCCCGAGTGGGGGAGGGGAATTCCAGACTTCCAGACTTGGGATTGGCTGTTCCCTATGATGTAAGGGAATTTTTCAGGCCTTGAGGAGAATTCCCAGCTACCAGTAACTGCCTGAAGGGAATGCTAAGCATGTAGGGGCTCCGTGATTGGTCAGTTTTCCCTCCTCAGTGATTGGCTGGTTTTGTGTCAGTGGCGGCGATAGTTCCGATTCTGGGGCCAAACTGTGTGCATTTCTTTAGTTCTTTTTACCTTTTGACTCTAATATTTGGACCAACGTGAATGTCTTTGGTATGCCCTGAATCTAAGGGCTTCGTGCTTTCTTCTGGTCCTGGTTTCAGGGTCCGGGGACTCTTCTCTGCCTCTAGGTTTGGGGACAAAGTGTCTCTTCCCCTGGCTCTGGCCCCGTTTTCTTGGTATGTTTCTTTCCTTGGCTCTGAATCTAGGGCCAGGCTGCTGGGGGTTGTGCTAGGACTATGGACTCATTGAATCTATGGAGGCCTGGGCCTCTCACCTACCACTCTCAGAAGGCAAGCCCAATGACAATTGCGTACATTAAATGTGAGTGGCGCCGTCTGCGCTTGAAGCCTCACTCCTGTTGTTGGCCTTTTCTCATCTTCTTAATCACCCTTCATGTCCAGCACCAATAAAATTTCCAGGAAAAAGCTTCCCAAGGAAAAAGAGCTGTGCTGTGATGATCTGAAAACATCTTCCCTTCCCATATCGTGACATCTTTGGGGAGATAGACTATTACAGTTATTTGTACCTCAAATATATCTGTCTACTCACATTTTAAATTATACTACTTAGAAAACTTGTAACAGTATAAATTTACCTTATCCTATGCTATCATTGCTGCATATAGTGAATTTATATTATTATAAAGCCCTATAAGGCTATAATTTCTATTTTATTATTTTTAGTTTTTGAAGACAGGGATCCTCTGTGTAACAGCCCTAGCTGTCCTGGAACTCACTCTGTAGATTAAACTGGCCTCGAACTCACAGAGATTCACATGCTTCTGCCTACCAAGTGCTGGGATTAAAGGTATACACAACTACCACATGACTAAGGCTATAATTTTGGATTTAAATACTTAACATGTGTTAACTTGTTTGTTTGTTTTCGAGACAGGGTTTTCCTGTATAGCCCTGGCAGTCTTGAAACTTGCTCTGTAGACCAGACTGGCCCTAAGCTCAGAGATCTTCCTGCCTCTGCCTCCCCAGTGCTGCGATTAAAGACATGCCACAATGCCAGGCCTCCTAATATGTATTTTAAATAAAATATTCTCAAAATCATTTGAATTTACCCACATATTTATCACTGACAAGGGCCCATACTCTTTCTGAAAGATCCCTCTGGCTCACTCCTGTAATCCCAGCTCTTTTAAGAGTATAATGAGAGACTACCATAAATTCTATGCCAGCCTGGGCTAGACAGTGAGATCCCACCATGGAAAAAAAAAATAAAACAAACAAGGGGCTGTGGCAGGGAGAGAAAGAAACAAATTAAAAGCCAAACAAAGCAAGAACTCTCCCCCATTATACATCAGAACTCATTTTTTTTCACCCTTAGAAATGTCTTATATGGGTCAGCTGGTAGCAGATTCTCATTTTCCTTTAACGGGAAAGTATTTTATTTTACCTTTATCTCTGATGAGTATTTCCAGTAGACACAGAAATCTGGCTGGCAGGAAGTTTTTCTTTCAGTCCTGTAAGATGCCATTGTTCCTTCTGATGGGAAATCTGTGCTGCTCAGATTCTGTTCCTGTGGTTACCGCATGACTACCCCTCTGACAGCTTTAAAAGTCTCCCTTTATCTTCGCATTGCCAGAGCTGGGCTGTGATATGCCTACTTATTATTTTCTTTGTATTAATCCTGCTTAAGTTGCACTGAGGTTTTTACATCTGTCAACGTATGTCTTACTATACTGCTTCTCCCTTATCTTCTAGGGATGTGTTCCAAGACTCCCAGGAGATGACTGAAACCACAGATAACAGCAAGTCAGACATATAATACAGATATAATATGTTACACACACACACACACACACACACACACACACACACACACACACACATATATATATATATATATATCAATGATAAAGATTAATTCATAAGTTCAGCAAAATAAGAGATTAACAGCAACAACTGAAGGCTAGGGATGAAGCTGAGAGACAGAGTGCTTACTTCATAGTAACTAATAATAAAAGAGACTATTAACGGGCTGCAGATGTAGCTTAGTGATGGAGAGTTTGCCTAGCTAAGTATGGGTTTGGTTCTCACTCTCTCTTTCCCTCTCCTTCTACTCTCAAAGTATCTTGTGGATTATCAGGTGTGGTACTGCACAATTGTCATCCAGGTACGTAGAAGGCCAAGGCAGGAGGATCATGAGTGGGAGGCCGGCTTAGGGTACACAGCAAGACTCCATGTCAAAGCAAATACAGAGGGAAGGCAAGGTGGCTCAGTGGGTAAGGCCACTGGCTGCCAAGTGTGAAGACCTGAGTTCTATCAGGACCCACATCACAGAAGGAGAGAACTGACTCCTGCAAAGTGTCCTCTGATCGTCACAGAAGTGCCACAGTATGTGTGTTCCTCAACAAATCAATAAAAATAAGTGTGATAAAAAGATATAAATAGAATCTTATTGTACTGTACTAATATTTCTTACCGACAGCTGACAGTTGTAACATGAAGGGGCCGGCTGGTTGGCAAGCCCCAAAGAAAATCACACACAGGACTCCATAAGATTATAAACTGATTGGCCCATTAGCTCAGTCTTATTAACTAATTCTTACATCTTACAGTAACCCATAAGTCTTGTCTGTGTTAGCCATGTAGCTCAGTACCTTTTCCAGCAGTCAGCTCACATGTTGCTTCTTCGGTGATCTGGGCAGGAATGGTGGAGGGAGCTTCCTGCTTCCCAGAATTCTCCTGTTCTCATTTCATCACCTCTACTTCCTGTCTGGTTTTCCTGCCTATACTTCCTGCCTGGCCAATCAGCATTTATTTAAAATATGATTGACAGATTACAGACAATTCTCCCGCACCAGATAGTAGGTAACAAGGCTGGGTGTATGTCTTCAAATACACCTCCTGTTTCACCCCTCTCTTTCTAATACTACACAGCACATGTGTTATGTTTTCTAATGTCGCCCACCAAGTCCCCAAGGCTTGCTCTTTCTTTCGTTCTTTCTTGCAACATTTTTTTCTCTGTGTATCTCCAAGTGCATAATTTCAACTGATCTATCATCAAGTTCATTGACTCTCTGTTGATCACCCCCATCTGCTTAACAGATGTGGACTATGCTGTGGACTATGCTCATTGTTAATAAGGAGAACTGATTGGTCAATAGCAGGGCAAAAAGAGACTGGATGAGATAACCTGATGCACAGAGAATGCTGGCAGGAAGAAGGGTGGAGTCAGAAGAGTAAGGAGAGATGCGAGTCAGTCACCAAACAAGCAGGATGCTAGCAGGAAGAAGGGTGGAGTCAGAAGAGTAAGGAGAGATGCGAGTCAGTCACCAAACAAGCAGGACAATATAGAAAATGAAGTAAAAGTCATGAGTCACTTGGCAAAGTATAGATAGAAATATGGATTAATTTAAGTGTAAGAGTTAGTAGTAAGCCTGAGCTACTGACCGAGCATTTGTAATTAATATAAGCCTCTGTGTGTTTATTTGTGACTAGGTGGTCAAGACAGAAAGTTTTTGTTTACAGTTAACCCTTACAATGACTGCTTTGCTCCTCTCTCCCTCTCCCCCCCTCTCCTTTCCTTTCCTTCTTTCCTTCTATCTGTATAGTGCTGGAGAGTGAACCCAGAGCCCTGTGCCTGCTCTGAAAGTACTCTAACACTGATCTACATCTCTAGGCCTTTCATGTAAGTCTTCAAATTCCAGAATTTCCATTTGAGTTTTTATTTCTCTGCTGAGGTTTCCTATCCACTCATTTTGAGTGGATTCTTTCTTTCCATTTATAAATATAATAGCTGCTTTAGAAGTTCTAGCTCCAGTTTCCACCATATGGTCAACCTCTATCCATGACTGTCTTTTCTGGTGGTAGGCTGTGATTCTCTCTTTCTCTACACACTGAGTTTAAAATCTATTCTGGGCATTGTAAGTAATGCATTCACTATAGCCTAGTTCTTCCTCTCTAGCTCTCACTCTTCTGGAATTTCTTCCTTAGATTTTCATCAGCTATGAGTGCCCAGACTTTGTCCTCTGACTCTTAAGACAATAAAGGACAGGTGTGGTGTCTTGGGTCTATAATCCCAGCATCTGGGAGGCAGATGCAGGAGGATTTCTGTGAGTTCATTGTTAGCCTAAACTATAGAATAAAACCCTATCTCAAAAAAGAAAGGGAGGGAGGGAAGGAAGGAAGGGAGAAAGGAAGGAAGGAAGGAAGGCAAGATTATGTACATGCACACACAGACACACACACACACACACACACACACAATCCTATTTGCATTTTAGCCACTTTAAATGGCAGAGATTGGTACTGTCCTCATTTGCTTTCTCTTGCTCTAATAAATGCTATGACCAAAAGCAACTTGAAGAGGAAGAGTTTATTGCTTATTACACCTCCCAGGTCACTGTTATCACTGAGGAAAGTCAGAGCAGGAACTCAAGGCAGGAACCTGGAGTCGAGAACTGAAGCCGAGACCTTGGAGAAAAGTTGCTTCCCAGCCTGCTCCTCCTTCAGGCTATTTTCTTACACAGCACAGGACCATCTGCCCAGTGGAGGCACTGCCCGTAGGGGCTGAGCCCTCCTATGTCAGCCATTAAACAAGAAAGTATCCCTATAGACTTCCTCACTGGACAATTGGATGGAGGCATTCTTTCCAATGGAGGTTCCTTTTTCCCAGATGACCCCAGTTTGCATCAAATTGACAAACAATTAATCATCCAGGGATTTACCATCACTCTCAGAGCTGCTGTAAGTGAAAAGTTCTCTTTTTATTTTTTTTTTAAATTTGTGATATTAGGGATCACATCCAGAGACTCACATGCTACACCAAGTTACACCCAGAATCCCTAAATATTTAAATACTTGATTAACAAATAAAGATCATATATACAACATGATAGCAATGACTACGCCAATCAAATGAATTAACACACCTGTTACCACCTTAGCTATCAGAACTTACTGGATTTACAATGAAGGTGTGCGCCTTTGTATCACCCTCTTTTCTCTCTACTGATGTGATTCCCTTCTTCAAAAGATCAACCACCTTCTACTGCCGGCTTCGCTGTCCTTGAGAGGCCTAAGTAGCTGTCTTTGCTTTTCTATTTCATCTAGAGTTTTGTTTTGCAGAACTATATAGGTTGGTTTTTTTTTTTTTTGGTTTGAGGCTGACTTCAAACTGGTAATCCTCCTGCCTCAGCCTCCTTAGTGCTGAGATTACAGACATGTAGGACATAGCGAGTTTATGTTTACATCTTATCCAGAGTGTATAGTTTATTTTGTTCTTATATCTAGATGAATACACCGGGAGCTTACTCAGTTTTTTCCAGCTCTCTGCCTTCTGCGCATGTGGGTGAATCATGCTTTCTATCCCCCTTAAGGGTAGGGTGGCAACATATGAGGTGTGAGTGGAAGTTCTGCTCACAATGTTCCAGACGGTGGCTCTACCATCAGCCTGGGACCTGAATGGACAGACACATCAACCGATCTTTGTTTTCAATGTATTCTGAACAATTAACAAATCATTTTTTTTATATTGAAGCAACTAAGACTAGGGAGTCATACGTTATTATAGCTTCTTCACCTGATCTATCCAGGCCTCATTTTGTTCTCATTTGTATTAGTTTCTGGGGCTGCTGGGACAATGCAGCTTTAGTGGATTAAAAATCAAAAAATATATCAGCGATCTAAAATCTGTCTGCAGGGCCTTATTCCTTCAGAGGTTCATGAGGAAAACATCCCCTTAACTTTCAGACTTCTGGGAGCTACCTGTGTTCCTGTCCTCCCTCTTCAGAGCTAGGTGTGACATTATCACTCCAGTCTCCTCTCTCCCTCTCCTTTCATGAAAGCTTGTGAGTGTGTCACGCCTACTCCATTAATCCAAGACAACCATCCTATCTCAAGGTCCTCAACTGAGCCACATCTGAAAATTTTCTTTTGCTATGTAAGGTCACGTATTCAAAAGGCTGAGGATTCAATCATGGACATTTTGGGGAGACTAATATTCACCCTACCAAACAAAATGCCACCGTCTCTAACACAGTAATTCAGAGAGAGGAGGGGCTCGATAAGTGAGCATCAATTAAATAAAATCTTGCTATTAGCATTAGCCCCACATGGGAGCTCATTAAAATGTAGCACTCTGGCCCACCCCAAACCTACTGAACCAAAATCTTCATTTTAACAAGCTCCCCAGGTGTGCCTCTTACTCAGGAAAGATGAGGTGTACTGGGGTGAGTCATTTAATCTAATAACAACGGCTAACACGGATTGAGCCCTCTCAACAGGCGCTTCCTGCGCTCTTCCTCACATACTCATGACCCACCTCTAACCTCAACTGCACAGAACATTTCTGCGGAGTGCAAATTTCAGGCAGATTCCTGAATACTCTCTGTCTCAGAGCCTTCTTCAAAGTTGAGGCACCCAGAAATGGAAGGCTTGCTTGATCTTCCTGGAAGAGACTTTCGTCAGTGAAAATGTAGTCTGAGGGATAAATCCCTCTGCTTCCCATTCTTGGAATGGGTAATTTCAAGAGGCTCTCCTATAGAAGAGACCTCAACTGTGCTCCCAAACCCTGGTTCTTCTTCCCTGGGATTGTCTGTAAAGAAGCTACCTATCTCCAGGTTTGTTTCTATGGCAAACACCAATGTGGTACTTGTTCAGCATCATGCCCTCTGCTGAATTCCATGTCATTTATAGCATGTTGTACCTGCATCAATTCTGTGAAAAGGTACTATTTTTACCTCTTTTTAGATGAATTTTAAGAGTCATGTATAGCAGCTCATGTCTG